CCCCCCACCCACCCGCCTCCTCTCGGCCCTGCAGTGGGCACTGCTATTACCAGATGGTGGTGACACCGGTCATCGAGCAGATCCTGCCGGATTCGCCGGCTTCCCGCATCCCGCACACCGTCACGCTCGTCTCCATCCCCGCCTGCTCCGACGGCAAACGCGGCTTCTCTGTCTCCATCGACCAAGGCTGCGGCACCGAGCACCCCCGCACCGTCCGCGTCCGAGAGTGCGTCTGTGTCCCCTCTGCCACCAACCCCTCCCCGGGGCTGGGGGCATCCCGCGCCCCTTCTGCTGGTGGGATCCACCCCACAGAGACTTTCTGGGGTGGGAGGGTGAGGGATGGGGCTGGTGTGTCCCCAGCTGCTGAGGTGGTTTGTGGGGACCGTGCTGGCATGTCCCCGGCCATCAGGGTGGCTTGGGGGTGACATGCTGGCGTTGCCCCATCTGCCAGGGTGGGCTGGGGGTACTGGGCTGGCATGTCCCCGTATGCTTGGGATGACTTGTGGGTACTGTGCCAGCATGTCCCCATCCAGGAGGAGTGACCCGTGGGCAGCATGCGTGCGTGTCCCCAACTAGCAGGGGTGACCCGTGGGTACCGTGACTGCATGTCCCCATCCTGGAGGGGTGACTCATGAGTACCGTGACAGCATGTCCCCATCAAGCAAGGGTGGCTTGTGGGCGGTGTGCCTGTGTCCCCATCCAACAGGGGTGACTCGTGGGCAGCATGCCTGCGTGTCCCCGTCCAACAAGGGCAGCTTGTCTGCATGTCCCCAACTAGCAGGGGTGACCCGTGGGCCGCTTGCCTGCGTCCCCCCATCTGGTAAGGGTGACCCGTGGGCAGCGTGCCTGCGTGTCCCTCTCTAGCAGGGGTGGCTCGTGGGCAGCTGGCCTGCGCATCCCCATCTCGTGGGGGTGACTCGTGGGTACCATGATGGCATGTCCCCCGTCTCACAGAGGTGACTTGCGGGGGAGGTACAGCCTGTCCCCAGTGGCTGGGGGTGGCTCGTGGGCAGTGCTCCAGCACATCCCCACCCATGATGGTGTCAGGGCCGGGGGGCTGATCCCAGCTGCCTGCTGGCCCTTGCAGGGTGGATCCGGACTGCATCAGCCCTGACATGAAGAACTCCATCCACGTGGGCGACCGCATTCTGGAGATCAACGGCACCCCCATTGGCCACGTCCCCCTGGATGAGGTATGGTCCCCCTGGGGTGTCCCCCAAACCAGCACTGCTCCCCGCCCCCCCC